TGAGTGTTTCTTCAAGGGCCATTTGAGGCTTGATCTTGAATAATGGTGATGAGCGGATCTTCAAGGGCTTTTGGGCTTGATCTTGAAGAACAGTGATGAATGGATTTTCAAGGGCTTTTGGGCTTGATCTTGAAGAACGGTGGCTTGTTGATCCAAGGGCCGTCGGGGCTTGATCTTGGAAGAACGATGAACGAAGAACGAAGAACACTTTCTTCAAGGACCGTCGGGGCTTGATCTTGAATTGGTGGATGATTGTTGATCCAAAGGGCCGTTGGGGCTTGATCTTGGAAGAACGATGAACGAAGAACGAAGAACACTTTCTTCGAGGGCCGTCGGGGCTTGATCTTGAATTGGTGGATGATTGTTGATCCAAAGGGCCGTTGGGGCTTGATCTTAGGATGAATGATGAATGAAGAACGAAGAGAGCTTTCAGAGCTTCAGAGCTTGCTTAATGATTTTGGTTCCTCCCTCTAAATGAATGAATTAGCCTTTTATTTATAGAAATTTCTAAGGCCTAATTTTGAATATAATATTCCAGATGAAATAAGTCGTTTCTGCCAGGTGTTGACACGTGTCCTGTTTGATGACTTTTCCAACTTATTTCAATTTTTTTGTTTAGACACACGCTACGTGTAAAATTTATGTAATACATGAGTGTTGAAACTTTGATTTATCGGTCAACATTTATTTACCGAAATTTCGATGTCTACAAATGTAAAAGAAAAAAAAAATTCTTGGTGTGGTCGCTAGGTACCTATTTGCCTCCCCTAAGTTTTTGGGTTCAAAACACCATGCTTTTAAATATAAAAAAAAATTAAAATAAAACACAAAACCTTTACATTTTAATTTTTATGATTATGTATGAATTGAGATAAAAAAAAAATTAGGAGTGGTGGACCGGTTGTTAGGTATTTATTTGCATCCTATATTTTTGAGTTTGAAACTCCTTATTTATAAATACCAAAAAAATGAATAAAAACCCTTACAAGGTCTAACATTATAGTTGCTATGTCTTCTTTTACATTTTTAATCATAAAAAATGATAATATAAAAGAAAAAAAAAATCTTGGTGCGGTGGCTAGGTGCCTATTTGCCTCCCTAAAGTTTTTGGGTTCAAAACACCATGCTTTTAAATACCAAAAAAATTAAAATAAAACACAAAACCATGCTTTAGATACCAAAATAATTAAAAATAAAACACACAAAAAAATCACCACCGGGCAGACTTGAACCCAGTTCTTGGGTTACAGATAATATACTCAAGACAATTGCACTAACAAAACAATTTAGTATATCATTGCACGTTTAAATTTATATATGAAATGTATAGGTAAAGTAAAATCGTAAATCGGGACCTTTCAAATTTGAGGGCCTTGTGTAGTGGCACCACTTGCACATCGTCAGGGCCGGCACTGGTTCTTGAAGAAGAAGCAAATAAATAAGATAGCATCTATTGCAAGAGAGGGAAAGTTTCGTAACAAAAACTCAATCCTTTTCAAGTGATGATGTAATAATTACAACAATGAGTATTTATAGATTACAAGATAGGATAATGTTAGGGAGATTAAATTTGTAAACAAAGTTTTGAAAACTAAAATATATGGAAGTTGATGATTGATTTATTACTTAAATGTTGATAAACATGTTCATTCATGTTGGTGACACATAATTTAGTTTGTAAATTTAGTCTTCAAATAAACCCCTCATCTAACTACCTTAAGACATAACCAATGACATAATGACACTTGTAGTAATCCTAGACACTCATCAACTCTCTCAATGATGACTACCTTTTCTACTACAATTTACAAAGGTGTTGGTGTTACCATACTACCATTCGGCTAAAGGCGCAGCCAGGTGTAATTTGAGTCAGATTTTTCCCTTTGCAGCCGTATGGGGCCGTTTACAAATTCGAATCACAAAATGAATGTGGAAAATCATCTGCAACGAAATTTATAATTCAATCAAGAACAATTTGGAGATTGAGTGTCGCTAGAAGAAACGAAACGATAATGTATTGAAATGACAGAAAAAAAACTTTTGAAAGAAAGAGAAGAAGGTGCATCAAGGAGTATACAAATTAATCAGGCTAAATCAAGCAAAGGAATAGGCAGGAACAAGAAAGATTAAACAAACTAATCCTTTGTTTAATATTTACTAAGTTGTTTTAGGCTTCCACTAAATTATCGTTCAAATATTTAACCTTAACTCCAAAACGAGTAACCATGATCGTTTGATTTGGCACTATACGACTAATGGAAATTACTCGGTTCGTACGGGGAACAGGGTTGCGATGGACTTGCAGGCAAACGGAGACTTTGGAAGGCAAGGGACGGGAAGGAGTAGAGGGGGTGCGGCAGTGGAGGGGTTATGGAAGCAAATTTGGCAGCTGACTGTGCCTAATAAAATGAAGTTCTTCGTTTGGAGGGGGTGTAATAGCTCGCTTGCGGTGAAACCGAACTTGATACGACGTGGCATGAATATTGAGAGAGCTTGCACGCTTGTGGGTCTGCGGACGAAACAGAGGAACACCTTTTCTTTAGGAGTGAGTTTAGTCGCATGTTTTGGTTTGGTTCACCTCTACATGTTGATTCCCTTGCAATTATGGGTAGCGACATTCGGGAGTGCTGGAAAAATGTATGTTCAAGGGTTCATGATATGGATGCCTAGGACGATCTTTTGCAAGAATTTGTTTTTGGTATTTGGCGAAGTTGGAAGGTTAGAAATGATATGGTTTTTCGTGGGACGACTTAGAATCCAACGGAGGCTTTGGAATTGTGGAGAGTGCAGGTGAGTGAGTTCAGAGATGCTATGGTTAAGATTGATAACCAGGGGCCGTGTTATCCTGGAAGTGTTCCGACGGAAAGGGGCTTGCAGGGAGGTTGGAAGAAGCCGGAATTTGGAACCTTGAAATTTAATTGCGATGGTGCTTGGACCTCAAAGACGAGGTTAGGTGGTTATGGGTGGGTGTTAAGAGACTTTGCTGGGATTTTAAAGCGAGCTGGAAATTGATTTTTAGTTCTACCATTGCTGCTGAGGCTGCTGCCGTGAGGGCAGCATTGATGTTCTGCAGATACAGCAGCTGCAGTGGCAAAGCCAGAAATTCTCGAGGGGAGGGGCGAAATTTAAAAAGTTTAGGGTCCCCAAAAAATATGAACATTCATTCGAGGTCTAAGTCTAGGATTTGCAAGAAGATTATTTTGCACTACCCGTAATATTCATAGGAGAATTTGCACTAATCAAAATATTCAAATGAGGATTTGGACTACTCAAAATAGTCGAAGTAGGGTTTGAACAACAATATTATTTGAATGATGATTTAGCACCGTTTCTTGTTGTATTGTCCTATTACTTAACTGTATAATTAGCAAAATTTTAAAAGATACTAAGCTATAGTCAGGTGGTGAACATGACTTTACACTTAGGCGAGGACCTAGGCAAATTTAAATAAATTTATTATATACCGTATAAATAATTGTCTATTTATTATATACCATATAATATCCGAAAAACATGGATTATAAAACATATAATATAAAAATATTGACAAATTTTCTTTATTACTTTGTTGAATTTGATGGTAAGAGAAAAAAAAAATAATTACGAGTTCATAATATTTTACAAATCATTTTTTGAAGCTTGTATAAATTTATAGTGAATTTAAAGATAAATAACAGTGTCAAACAAGTGGCTTAAAAAATATTGAAAGAATGGTCAAATTAATTGGACAATAATTAAAAAACAAAACAAATTCTAATATAAATAAGTAATAGCAAGTTAGGTGGCACAAATTGATTGGCCAATAGTTAAAAAAAATTGTAATTGCATGTGGGTGGGATGGGGGAGAGAGAAAGTCTCTCTTTTTCCTTTCTCTTCTTCTTCATTAGATAGAAGCTCTCCATTTGTAGAAGCTACGAATTGTAGATCTTTGTTCCTCCCTTCTTTGGCCTAGGTTTTTTTTTTCTTGGAAAAAAGAGAGCTCGCGATCAGCCCGTGGTGCAATAGAGCAGGGAAATTCAAAACGCCAGAAACCACACGAAATTTCATCACTTTCGACGAGACCGGAGGGGCGGAACCACCGCTTTTGGGCTTGATTTCTGGCGAGGGGAGTGGCGGCCGCCACTCCTCACCCTCACATAGCTTCGCTACTAAGCGGCTATACAAAGGTGGAGGTGGAGTCTGACTCCCAATCTTTGATTCGTATGGTTAATAGAAAAATGGAACGGGGTGCAATATTAAAGGGGTGCTTTTTGATGTTTGATTCTTTAGCTATGCATTTTGATTTTGTTAAGTTGGGTTCGTTCCCCAGAAAAGTAACTTGGCTGCTCATGAGGTGGCTTCGTTTGCTACCAAGCATGGTGGCGGGTTCCTTTGGGATGAGATTGATCCGAATTTTTTATTTATTATTCTTGCAGCTGATGTAAATTTTGCCATTCGGTTTAATAAATTTCTATATTTTTGACAAAAAAAAAAAAATAAACACTCAGTTTTTGCATAAAAATGATCAATCAGTAGGATGTTTTCTGTTTCGAACACGTGAAGGCAAACTTACTAAAAAGAAGATTAGGAAGGGAGACCGAAATAGGAATTACAAAAAAGTTCGACAGTAGGATACTATTCTGAATGAATAATCTCAATTGCATATACCTCCAACTTATCTAACTCTTTAAATTTACCTAGAGCGTGTCTTCTTAAATTGGTGAATATATCAGTACACTGTAATATGGGTGTGAATGCCCGCATAAAACGATCATGTGGCTGAGTATGGACGATGGAAGAATAGAAGTAAAAGAATCCGGATCCTCTTTGTGAGGATTTCATAAATCCGTGAATCATGTCCGTACATCGTGAGGTTAGTTTTCGTCAGATACTATTTATGTTCAATTATAAGTAATAAAATTTAAAATAATTTCTAACCATATGATGTACGATGAACGGACACGATACACGAATTCTTGGGATGCTCACAAAGAGAATGAGGATATGATCCTTATTCGAAGTAAAAAATGTATGGCTTAATAGTAGAAGTTTGATTTTTTTACCATTTTGGTGTGTAAGTTTTCTACATGCATTGAAAGAGGTGTCCAATGAGAAACTCGATATATATAGAGGTATGCTTGTATCATACCAATACAACAACAGAGATCAAAAGCAGAAAGTAATAATCTAGGTTTCCATCTCCTCTCCTCCTTCCTCATTCATTTACCTAGTCCGACACGAGTAAAGAAAATAAGTAGAGCGCCCGTTCCAATTCAATCTCTAGCAAAAATTCTCTCTCATTTTGCCTGTTTATAACACAACAATCAAATATACAATGGGAACAATTTTTACAATTCAAATGCATAAAGCTTGCCTAATGTACACTACAAATTCCCCACTAGCAAACACAAAACAATGTAATACGAAATTCTTTACAAACTAAATACTTACAAAGAGGAAGGCTAAATCAATTGTACGACACAAGAAATGGGATGACCATAGACATAAATTCGTCGTAACCAAAATTTGCTGAACCAGTATACCGCCGATCTTTCTCTTTGAACCTATCGGTCAAACCCTGAAATCAAAATAAGAACAATTCAGAACAAAAGATAGCTGTTTCTTTGTCAAATCGCACACTGCATTATCTGCTTAGAGAAACGCTTCAACCTAGCAATTTGCTCACCCTCACAATCATCCCGCATCTGCATATCAAACAAAACGCGATGTCAGAAGAAGCATAGCCACGAATTGATTCTCAGGGAGAACGAAACAAGTCATGTGAAATATCTAACGGTAATGTCATACATTTAGACGTGATTTCACTTTAGCAGTGGTCCTAATTCACAGACTAGCAAAAGAAAGTTTCCACTACATTAGATTAGAAGACTTACTCCACGAAACTGTCAAAGTTTAGTTCAACCCTGCGGCCACTTCCATCATCATACTTGGAAATCAAAAGTTGAAGAACAGAAGGTGGCATGGCAAGGCCTAGACCGTAGTAGAGTGCATCTCTGAGTTCCATCGAATCAATCTTTCCACTCCCATCTTTGTCATACCTCTCGAATATGGACTGCAATTTCAGGTTCAAACCATAATTCAGAGTGACAGTTTGTAGCAAAGAGAACATGGGATCGATTTTATAAAATCTAAACACATTTTCTTCAGACAAGCAGGAAGTCAGGTAGCATTCTGAGTCTCTGACTCCTAAAAATGGCATTGCAGATTGGCAGTGTATGACAAGACTCAATTGGGTTACCCAAACTTGATTATCAAACAACCATATGAAACATATTTAGTGGTTATTTGAACCAAATGGCATAGAGCTTCACCACTAGACGATTGAAACAGTTCTAGAGTAGGTTACATGAATTAAGAGTTGAACCATTGAACAAGTGCGCCTCAATCCTTGCAATAGTACCCGCTGCATGCTATGTATTAACAAAAACCAAAGCATTCTTCAGGCTGCATGAACGGGACCGGAAGCACCCTAAACTCTAAGCCATTAACAAAATTATAAGGTGAGATTCATATGATAAAAGCGAGTAACCGATGATACTTACTCGCCATTGTCCAAGACAAATCCAGAGCGCAGCAAATTCCTTGGGCCCTATATCGAAAAATTTAGGGCAAATTAATAAAGTGAGAAGAGTTAGATTATTGCTTTGATATAAAAGGGAAAGAAAACAATCTACAAGCTGAAAGGGGCAAACCATTTTTATCAGGTCAAATAAAACAGGATGCTGACCAATGACTAAAGATTTCACAATTGAAACATCAAAATTTCCTAATTTTTGCACTAATTTCTAATCAAATCAATCAAATTCTGAAGAACAGAGAAGCTATTGATTGGAAGACAAAAACTCACCAACTCTGAGAGAATCCGTGGGACTTTTGAAGAGAAAAATGAGCAGGCGAATGGTCCTGAGGCTAAACCTCTGGTACCCAGAAGACAGAGCTTGCTGCAGCTCGTTCTCGTCGATGTATCCACTCCTGTCCCTATCCACCATCTCAAAGCTTCTAATCACAGCCGGGTCTGTCCCCGCTGGAAAACCCGACTGCCCATATGAAGAAAAAGAAGAAGACCACCCCTGTGGCTGCGGCTGCGGCTGTGGCTGCCCGTAACCATGGGAGTACTGGGAGTGCTGGGGACCGTAGGAATCGGGCAGGGATGGCGCAGAGGGCGCGTAAGGGTGAGAGCCGTATTTCCCATTGGAAGCCATTGAAGCAATTTGTTCCTGGGTTGCTGAAATTACAGAGACTTATTAGTTTCCTTTCTTTCGGTTGTGAGGGAGAAAACGTTGTGTTGTATAACCTCACGTAAGTTATTTATCTAGGACCGTCTGCATTGACTCTGAGATATGTACGTAAGAATAAAATGTTGAACCGACGCATGCAAGCGTGTGAGGTTTGTTGCGACGAAATGCGGTCGGGCGGTTTGCGTCGGGTGTTTGGTTTCAAATTTGAAGTGTTGGACTTTCAACCGACCAACCAGGAAAATTCTGGTATTCCATGCAGTTGCTAATTTTGAACTGTTCGGTGTAAAATGAGCTGGGAATTTTAGCAAAATGGTTCGGGCCCTTCTGAATCTTGGCTGCTTTTACCCTAAGACGGGCTAGATGAATGAGCCGCGTAGGTAGACTATTATCACGTTGAAAAAAGAAATGAAAAATTTAGGATGGTGATTTTCACACTTCTTATTTTACTTCACAAACACGTTATTCGTTGTTTAATAGTTTTTTATTTTAATTTTTTTATGTAATTGTATACATGGTGGTGATTTTCACACATCTCAATTTATCTTACAAACACTCTAAATATTTATTAAACAGTTGAAAAGGTGTGTGTGTGATGTGAAATAGCGTGTGTGAAATCTACTACCCAATTTGTGACAAGCATAGAGGTAGGAGATGAATTATTCAAGAATAAACGTTATCCATTGAAGCAAGTTGAGATTCAACTATAAAATTAAATTGCAATATGAAGAGTAGCCTAATTACTTATAAGAACATGCAAAGTTCTTTGTTTCCCCGATGTGGAGCAACACAAATAAGGTGACGTGGAGTATGTGTGACCGTTGGGCTTCAAACCTGGAATAGCTTGCTCTGATACATGAAGAAAGTTGAGATTCCACCATAGACCAATTCGTAATATGATGAGTAGCTCAATTACTAATTGTAAGCACATGTAATGTTCCTCCTTTCCCCAATGTGGGATTGATATACTCTCAACATCCATTTCAATTTGAAAAGTCATTCTCCTTTACTTCAAAATATCTTGAATTTATAGAGTTATGTGTTCCAATCCAATTCTCTATACCAAACGAGGCCAAAGTTGTAGAATACGGCAACCAATGATCAATGCATCAAACTAATACTATAAACATATCTCATTTGTCTATAAGGTTGGGGGTCTGAATATGTTTTCATTTTGAATTTTCTTTTTCATTTTGGGCTGCTAATAGAGAAACCGCGAAACCACCAACGAAGCAACCAGTTTCTTTCTAGGGGCGCTCTCTCTCTCTCTCAAGGCCAGGTTTTTGTCACACTACAAATAATGACTTGGTTTTACTTGCATGTTAAGGAATTTATCTTTAGTGGCCAAAACATAAATCACAAGTTCCCCTTTTCCTCCCATAAACAAACTTCTTTGATTCGTTCTGATTACATGTTATGACACACCCGTACAAAAAGCTAACAGATTCGAGAAAAGCTTGCGAGAGGGCCATCACCACATATATATTGACTATCTTAGTGAAAATAATAAAAAACCATTTATAACACTGACAGTTTGACAGTAAGCTAAGCCTGTTCAATAAAGTCGAAGAAACTTAAATGTGAAGAAATTAAAAGTACTTAAATAAGTGTTGTTTTATTCACACCATACGTTTTGTTGACTACACCCAACATGCTTAATATACCTCACATATGTTTTTAAATCAAAATTTATCTTAATACACCCCTAAATGTTTTCCAATGCTACCCTCACACCCCACATGCTATATATACGCCCCACACGCTCTACTTAAACCCCACATCAATACAAAGAACAAACAGAAGACGATGAACAAGCAAAGGAACATGAGTCAAGTATGAAACAAAAAATTTCCCCTATTCTCTATTTAATTTATAACATTGTCATCCGGTTGGGTTAAATAGCCCATACCTTCCGCTGATCTATTCTTTGATAATTGGATTGCCTATAAGATTGTATTGTTCCTTCTCTGTCCGAATATATATGAATTCACATGCACAACTATTTGGCGTTCTATCATGGTCAAAGACAAATTTGTGAACACATTCCACTTTATTATATCAGTTTGTTATTCTAGGTTGCACCTGCAAAGTAAAAAAATGTATTGCTGGCTTTAAACTGACAAATTTCCGTTTTCTTTCTCCAATTCCAAAATTTCTCTTATAAGAGAATCAAGCAAATTAAAGATATGCAGAACGAGGATGAAAAATAATCTTTTTCAACGTTTTGTGTGTTTAGTAGTTAGGGTCTTGTTCGACAATGAAGGATGTGAGTGAATTTGAGAGCTTGAAAAAACGCAATCTTAGAATACAAGTCTAAATTAACTTGGGGTGTATTTAGAAAATTATTTCTTTTTTCTTTTTTTAATTTTATTTGGCCTAAATTGTCATTTTATATTAGGTATATAAGTCACTTAACAATAAACTTTTATGTATGGTGTATTCAACAGTAAGTGGGGTGTTAATAAAAAACCCTTAAATAATTATAGTTCACTCGAAAGCCCACTAGTTCTCCCTATGAATCTTTTCTTCTTCCTTTGGAGCGAAATCGTTCTTGATGTTGAACATCTTGCGAATCTCTTCAGGTGCCTTCCCCTTGATTATGTCCACCACAATTTGACACGTCAAGTCAAGCAGGCCCTTGATGTTAAGATAGTTTGCCGCCATTATTAGGTCATAGAGAGTGTTTTGGTTGATCTTTATGAACTCGGCATCCCACTCCTTGAAATTATTCTCGTTGTCAGTAGCAATAGCCCTGTCCTCTTCACGATGCTTTGTACAGTACTCAATGACCTTCGCAAGGATGGCGCTCGTCACGTTTGGCAAAGGAATGGTATTGTCGGCGCATCCGTCCTCCACCATGTGCTTGATGGTCTGCGACTCCATGGCCACTGCCTCTTCCACCTCGAACATCTCGTTGCCGGAGCTATTTAAGGTTATCTTCTTCTTCTTCTTCAAGTCCGTTGGTGCGGCTCGACTTGGGCCGAGCTGATTGGAGCTCAATGGGAGCTAGGTTGGGCTTAGCACGGACTAAGGATGTGAGCAGCTGGCTGGGCTTTGGACCTGGCCTGCTGAGGTGTAGGCCTCCTGGTTTGTTAGGCTAGGGCCCGTGTGCAGAGAGAAAGTGTGGGAGGTATGAGGGCACCTACCCCCCATTCCAGCTGAGTTGGGCCAAGGGAAAAGGGACTAGGCCATAGGGCTTGGCATGTCTGCTGGCCTTCTGCGGTCTTGGGTCTATGGTTAGTTGGTCATTGGGCCATAGGGCCTGGTGCACTTGTTATTGTTTTTTTTTTTTTTTTTTGTGCAGCCGTCTAATGATTCTTCCTTGTATCTTTGTAGAATTTCTTCGAGTATGTCTTCTTCAAGTCACAATAGTGACAATGGTGTGCATCCATTGTATTGCCAAGGCGGGTCTTTGGGTAAAGTGGGCTACTTCAAGGTTGCTTACTTCAAAATTAGCTCTGATGACTCGTTCAGAGATTTTCCTGAAACATACAAGCACACTATTCCGTCTGGGGTGTGTGTGAAGCGTGTCAAGGAGGGTGCAGCCCTGAGCCATGTAGTAGGGCTCGGAAAGCCATCAAGTTTCACCCCTACTACTTTGTGTTGGGATTTACTTTTTCCATGCAGTGTTTCTTCCAAGAAGTGCTTTGCTCTATGAAGTGTGCCCCCGCTCAATGTTCTCCCATTGTGGTCCGTGTGATGGTGGGATTCTTCAATCTAAGCCAATTCTTTGACTGGGATTTACCGTTAACAAATTTTTGTACTTCTTTGACATAGGCCACATTGATGGAGTTAACCAGTTGCGATCCCGCCATAGGCTCTTCGATTATTCAAGCAAGGGAGAACATGATTGGGCCAAGGAAACTTTAGAGATAAATGGAGAGTGGGAGTCTGATTCTTCCTCTGAGCTGTGCGTTTTGACGATTTTCATCACCGGTAAGTAGATTACTTAGTCTTTAGGCTGCTTTGTGCTTTTGCTGAGTTGCTATTTGATTTGTTGATTATCCTCTTTTGCTTAGTCTCTAGGTATCCCTGTTGAGTACCTTGAATGATGTTGGCTGCTTAGTCCTCTTTGCTGGGAGAAATGTGGGCTGCCCAAGAGAAAGGAGATAAAGCGGATCAAGGCAGAGGCATTAGCTCGTCCGATCGATGTCGTGAAGCTCGCTATGAATGAAGGTGGATAGAAAAGATCTTCCCCGCCTGCTCAAGAGATATTGGTTGAGAAAACACCGAAGACTTCCTCCTTTGCTCGTAAAGGTTCACCTACTGCCAATAGGCTTGCGATTGACTTGACTTCTTCCAAGAGCAAGAAAGGAGGCAGTTAGATCTAAGCCGGTAACGCTTGCTATGCTGAAGGTAGCTAGTACGATTGCTGATAGGATTGTTCAGCGTAGAGGTTCCGTCGTGCCCCCAATGCTGAAATTTGTGCCAAGACGTTCATTGGGAGCTAAGTCTGGTTCATCTTTGGGGAGGCTTGCTACTATGAAAAACAATAAGGTGGACTCTGCTGCTAAAGTGGTGCCAATGCTTATTCCTCTTATTGCTAAGACTGGTTTGCCTGCTGAGAAAGATGATACTGCTCTCATGGGCAGTTGTGAGAAATCCACCAAGCCTGTTTCTGGAGAGGTTGCTGAGATATGTGCAATTTTGAAGCCAAATCTACTTGAAGACATGGATGCATGTGCCAAGCTTGTTGATGGCCTTTGAGGAATTATTTGCCCAAGTTCCTTTGCGAAGCATACAACCCAATATATAAAAACTACTCCACTTGCTATGATACAGAAAACGATGATTATAATAGCTGAGTTTATGCTCATTAACCAAGAGGATACCAAGGCTACCAAGGAGATGACGAAGACTATGGCAGCTGAAGCTTATTCTTCTGCCGAAAAGATCAAGAGGTTAGAGTATAAGCTCATCGTTTTGAAGGGGTCCAATATTTCTGCCTTCACTTATCTGCAACTTAAGACCGCTCACCAGGAGATCGTTAACTTGAAGACTAGGCTTAACACAATCCAAGTTAAGTATGAAAGTGTCGAGAAGGAGATTGGTTGTTACATACCTTAGATTCAAGATCTTGAGCGTGTCGTTTTTAAGCTTCGTTCTGCTGCTTATGCAAAGGATGAAAAGCTAATTGCTACTTATAATCAAGTGATCCACTTCAAGAAGGTCATTGATAGGTTTAAACCCCAAGTGTTGGAACTCCAAGGTGTACTGAAGATCAACGAAAATCTGAAGAAGGAAGTGGATGAGCTGCAGCGCATCCATGTTAGTCTATTCAAAGAGAGGGAGCAGT